TATATATATATATATATATATATCTTTATTGATTTCAGAGAGAGGAAGGGAAAGGGAGAGAGAGAAACATCAATGAAGAGAGTCATTGATCGGCTGCCTCCCACACACCCCCCACTGGGGATCGAGCCCGCAACCCGGGCATGTGCCCTGACCAGGAATCAAACTGTGATCTCCTGGATCCTAGGTCGATGCTCAACGGTTAAGCCACACCCGGCCGGGTTAATCCCCCTTTTAATACCAACCACTATCTAATATAGTCTACGTTTCACATATTTATTTACTATTTTGCTCCTCCGTTAGAATACACGCTTCATGAGATCAGAGGTTTGTTTGTTAGTTTGTTTTTGTTTTGCTTTGTCCACTGTTACAGAACCACTGTCTAGAAAAGCCTCAGACACATACTAGGTGCTCCATAGATACAGAATGAGGGGGTTTCCAGCTCCCCCCAGCACTGAATGACCTGCAGTCAGGTCCTAAAAGCCTTGCGCGTCTCTGAGCTCTGACACAGTAGGTACACATAGTGCATTCTATGCAGTAAGAAAAATGTTCTTGATGGTGGTCAGTGCTTCTGTATATTGATTAAATGAGGTAAAGTAGCTAAAGCACCGGAGCATAGTGACTGGCATAGAGGAAGAAATCCATAACTGATATCTAATTTTATATAACCACATAATCAGTCATTTCTTTTCAGGGCCCCACTGTCCCAATCTAATTGTCTAATGTATTCAGGACTCTAAACATCCATCTGTATTTAATCATTGTGTCAGTAAGAAAGGGAAAGGAGTCAAAGCCAAAGGAAAACTATACAGCTTTCCTAGGACATGCAAGAGATTATTAAATGAGGAGTTTGTTTCGACAAATTTTATAGAGAACTACTCTGTCCCAGCCACTGTGTTAACTAGTGTTTGTTTGTTTTTTAAAGTGAACATAATACTGTCTTTTCATTGAGAAGCTTGTAATCTTACATGGATGGCAAATACATAGATTATTTCAAGAAAAACAAATAAAAAGTGACATGGGAGCAGCAAGCACAGTCAGTCTAAACTGGGCTTCAGTCAGAGCATTTTCACTGCAGTCGCATGTGTTGGCTGTGTTTCAACACAGGCATTTTCTATAGCAAAGAGCCCAGTTACCTGCTAGAACAGAGAGGCAAGAGTAAGGAAAGTAAATGGACTTCCAGAGTTGGTTATTTACATTTGCTCTGTCTAAATGATTTATAAACTGTTCACAGTTATTCTACCAGTGTGCAATGATGTGATTAATCTTGCCTTTGCACTTATCTCTAGCATTCCTGCACTGAAGTTCAGTAAATGCAACAGAATCCAGTACAAGCAATTCCTGAAAGATTACAGGCCAACATGCCTGCTTAACGTTCCATTTTCTGAACCCTCAAGCGATTCTCCGTTCTGTGGAAACAAGAACTTGGATGAGGGGGAGGAATGCGACTGTGGCCCTGTTCAGGTATTTGCAGATGATGTTGTCCTTAAGGGACAAAGTCTGTGCTCAGCCAGAGCCCAGGCAGGCACGGAGCCATTGGTCAACCATGATCTTCCCTGTGCTTTTTTTTTCTTTCTCGTTTGGAAACAGGGCGTTGGTGCAGCCTTATGGAAGCGCTATTACTGAGTAATAGATTGTGTGTAACGATCTTGCTGGAGGTCCATTCCATCCCATTTGCCTGCTTTACCTATGAATTGGCTCTTCTTGGGGGAAGGGCCCATCTGTGTCATTGTCTGGTCTCATGCAACAGCAGGAATCCGTTACACAATTCTTCACAGTCGATCCAGTTTTACTCTGGAAATTACGAGTCTAGCCTATAGCCTGGTGAGACAGTTCATGTTATAAGAAAACTGTCTTAATAGAGCAGGAAACTTCTAACCTGTCACACATTTATTGCACCTTGCAAGATTCTGCTCATGCTGTGGGTCCAAGGACAGTATGTTGCACATCTGCACTGGAGACACGGCACAACTCCAAAGAGTCTAACAGGACGGCAATGAAGAGACTCCGTGATCAGAGTGGGAACAGTGACATATCCAGAGATTACAACACATCAAGCTTTCAAATGTCTTTCACTAAATGTAAAGAAACTATAACTTTGGAAATAGATGTCCCTGCCCGTGCACCTTCTTTGAAATGGTTCTACAGCTTCACTCTCTCACACAAAGTACCGAACTGACAGGATGCCACAGTTTTGCTTGCAGTTTAAATTTTGTTTGAGCAAATAGGTCCTAAGTGTTCATCTTGCTGTTATTATTGAATTATGCAAAGGTCAGCCTGAAATACTCGGCATCTTGAGAATATAAAATCAGATCTTCAGAAGCTGTATTATCTCACATCAAACCTTTAGGATAGAGAAGCAGTGAGACCCTCCCAGAGAGCAGAGTCATCAGGAGAATGGGAGGTTACAAACTTTGGGCTCAGTATGCTGAGCAGCCACGAGGGAAGGAAACAGTGTAAAAGTCCCTGACACCAATGGCAGGTGGTAGTCTTTATTCAGGGCTTGGCAAACGTAGGGTTACAGTTGTGAGTATGCAAAACACAGAGTTTATTCATATTCTTTCCCATACAAATAACTGTAAACCTACTTCTGCCCCACTCTGTATAGCTCTCATAGCCTAGGACTATGCATTGGTATTTAACTCTGAATGACAAGTGATGCTAAATTACACAGAAGGGCAACTAATTAATTCTTCAAACAGGAACCAAACCGCAATCCAACTTCTGATCTTTAATGTTTGGTCATTGCCAGGAGTGCACGAATCCTTGCTGCGACGCGGACAGATGTATGTTGAAGCCAGGAAGTACTTGTGCAGAAGGAGAATGCTGTGAATCTTGTCAGGTAAGAGCCTTTGCTAGCACCGGATTTCTCTGTCTTTAGTTTATTAAGGGAACAGAGGACCAAAGAGTTGTCTGACCACTGCAGGGCCCTACACCGCTAATCCCAGTCCAGGGCTAGGCTTGCTGGTACACGGTAGAGCCTCTTCTGAGATGCTCCGACCTCTAAGCACTGGGCAGGGTTATGGTCTGGGAAGTGGAGAAGCGGGTGAGGGGCTTGGTCTTTGAGGAACGGAGTTGCATGGCTAACATTACTCTTGCTCCTTTGTAAATCACTGCCAACCTAGTCAACCTCAGCTGGAGGTGGGCGTGAGGCGTGGCATCCCAACAACGGTGACCTAACAGGGCAAAGGATTATGCTGGAATTGGAGCTATGTTTCTAGGAAAGACAAGCAGAGATCCACATGGCTTTGTTCAAGCACTTATTGTCATTTCTTTCCCTGGACTGTGAAAGCATAAGGGAAAGGAAGCATGCCTCATTCACCTGGAAATCTTTCCAGAACTCAGCACGATTAAATGCACATTGAAGAGCTGAATGAGAGACTACTTCCATGCAGTTCCCTCCACTGGGAGCCAAGGAATTGTTCTATTTCACAGGGGGAAATCTGACCTATTGGGAACGGAGGTTCCTCCACAGAGGCAGGGGCTCCCAGCTGTGTGTGTGTGTGTGTGTGTGTGTGTGTGTGTGTGTGTGTGTGTGTGTGTGTGTGAGTGGTAGCTGGGGGAGGGGAGCAGTGCTGGAGCAAGGGTTGAAGAAGATGAACAGAACATTTATTTGTTTCTCCAGCTTATGTCCGCCCCAACTCTGCCCAATGCTGTTCTAAAGCCAAATTTCAAAAGCACCATCTCAGCACTGTTCAAATTAACAAAAGCCAAGGCATTCACGAATGATGACAATTCCCAGTGCAATGGAAAAGGCCATTGGTTTCAGCCCTAAAACCACTTGTAGATAAATTAAACGGGCCAACCTTCCTCCTACTCACTGAACTTTCCCTCCCTGCCCGTGTCCAAGATTTAATGTCTCTGTTTTTCTTCAACAGATGAAAAAAGCAGGGTCCGTGTGCAGAGCAGCGAGAAGTGAGTGCGATTTCCCTGAAGCGTGTACCGGCCACTCCTCTGGGTGTCCAAAGGACGAATTCCAAGTAAACGGGTTTCCCTGCCAGAGCGGGAAAGGCTACTGCTTCCTGGGGAGATGTCCCACCCGGGATGACCAGTGCTCCGAGCTGTTCGATCACGGTGAGGGCCAAGTACGGTGGATGGCAGATGGCGATCACAGCCATTAGTCCTGTTACTGTCCCATACGGGGGCAAAACTGGAACGAATGCCATATTACCCGCATCTCTTCACAGAGTCCCTTTAATGTTAATTGACGTTACCTCTAACGTTAATCGACTAGCTCAGCATGTGGGTTAAGGAATGTTTATTGCTTGTTTAGTATATCTATACTAAGATACCTTCCTGGGGGAAGAGGGTCATTGTTTAATTACTTTTGTCCCAGTCTGCCTCATCGTTACATAATACCGAAACTTCAATTACATCAGAAAAGGAAAGTGTCTTGTAATGAACAGTATTCATGCTTTCACTGTTTTACTTTTATTATACCATTTTGCACCCCAGGGGCAAAAGACAGTTCTGATATCTGCTACCTGATCAATGAAAAGGGAAATAAATTCGGATACTGCAAAAACAAGAAAAGCAAACTAATCCCCTGCGAAGAGAAGTGAGTGCCTGGTAAAGAGCTGTACGCGCCGTCTAAGGGGGTCCTGCGGGTGAGAGCAGCTCCTGCTGACAGCGTCTAACTCCCCCTCGCTGAGGTCACCAGCGCCGGGCAGCAGGGAGGGAGGTGGCATCCTGGGCAGTGCCCTCTGGCAGTTAGGTGCTGCGCTTGTTAGCTGCAGGTCGAGCACTATCGGGAGAAGCATGGGAAAGATTTCAGACACTTAATAGACAAAGGGGGGAGTAAAAGCTACCGAAAGAGAAAGGAGCCAACCGGAGGAGGGGGGAAATGAGCAGGCCAGGGCAAAGAGGAAGAGAGAAGGGAAGGGTGATGTCATAAAAAGAATGGTGGGGATTGAAATTGGGAGAGAAATGGAAGAACTAGAAGTCGAATCGGATTTTTAGAAGCATGAGCTGAGCCATACTTGTATATTTGTTGCCGATAGCTTGATATGGGCCAAAAACCAGGATTTGGCCTGAAAACCACAGTAAAAACCTATTGTGGAGTTCAACTCTGCTCCTAAGTACACTAGATAAAAATGGGCAGTCACTTAACTTCCCTTACTCCGTAACCTCCAAAACAGAGGTTATAATACTAGCACCTCCCAGGGTTATTGCGAGAATCAATTGATATGTTCTATGCTAAAGAGGTTAAGAAAGAAATCTTAGCATCCTGATCAAAGTTATGCTAATCAAATGACTCACAAAAATATTGTTTCTGTAGACTGAAGCTAATGTAGATTTGTGAGAACCACAGAGATATCCAGAAAAATAGCATCATTTTCTATCTTTGCCTATTCATCTCCGTTCCCTGGGTAAGGACTGGCCTGCACGACACTTAACTGCTTTTCCTGGCCCTTCTGAAGCTTGCCAGCAAACCTGGGCTAGAAAAAAGGGGCCAGGCCACTTCAGGGCAAGCCTGGTCTCTAAAATTCTATTCTGGTCCCAAGTCTGAGTCTACTGTTCCTTTTCTTCAGAAATGTCAAATGTGGAAAGATATTCTGCACTGGAGGGCAGCACTCATCTTTCCTTGGGGAAGAAAAGATCTATCACCTTAAGGTTCCAAAGCAGAATGCCACCATTGACTGCAAAACCTTCTATTTATATCAGAATTCTAAAGATTTGGGTCTGGTTGCTCCTGGAACAAAATGTGGAGATGAAATGGTAAGATGAAAATTCTTTGTTTTATTAAAACTTCTTGGTTCAGCCCCTCGAAAACATCTTTGGAACCTAGAATTGGTTCCAGAGGGCCTACATATGAGGAAGCAGAAAAAAATTTGGTAATTTTTTTTTTTTATTGATCAGAGTAGCAATAACATTTTCACAAATATTAATTTGTTTAAGCCTTATTATACAAAATGATATGTAAATATTACACATGTGCTCAGTGTCTTACAGTAGACATCTAACAAAATTACAGACAAAATTTTTGAATTAAATTGATTATGAAGTGGCCATATATTTTTTAGTTATTTTACTCACTCAGCCATGTTCACTGGGCACGTACTCTGGTGCCAGTGACTGTGCTGGACACAGGTGATGAAAGGGTGAGTGCACTTGAGAATTTCACAGTAAATGAAATACATCATTACAATCCAACACAAGTGCTTTCATAGTGATGTGACCAACGTACATTTGTAAGTCCAAAGGGCTGACTTCACATGTAGAACACGGAATGACACCTTAGAATGAGTGACATTTCAGCTTTGACTTGATGAATAACATTTCTCAGCACACAGAAATGATAAAAGGCTTTTTTATGAATAAATACCTGCTTAAGATGCAAAGTTACAAAATGTATGGCATAGTCAGATAACTGGCGATTTCGGTGTGACTGGAACTTTAGGTGACCTGGAGTGAAGCGAAATGGAACGGGTAGAATGAGGCCAGAGTGGAAAGGGCTTATTATTCCAAGATACAACTTTAGAATGCATACTAAAAACAATAGCCGTTTCATCAAGGGTTACGAACACAAGCATATATGGAGAACTTATAAGAAGACTATCAAAACATCAGCTATTTCAAAGTGGAATAGTTTCTTTCCATGCTATGGCTTCCCTTCTCTATGCCAAAATCCAGAAACATTACAGCATCCTTCATATAATGTAACAGAGAAATGAACTGGGAAACAGGACTTCAAAATGTAAAAAAAGGATTCAAGTTTAAGAACTTAATGAAAACCAATATTTCAAGTCCAAATACGAAGCTATACAGTTTCCCATTAAGATGACTAAGTATCCAAATGGTAAGGCATCTTCATTTGTGAAAATTGAGTTATGTGTACCAACCACAGCTAGAAAGTTCCGGGATTTTCAGCAAGACAGAGTGTGAGGCATCAGGTTAAAAACAAAACAAGACAAAAAGCCAAACAATATTTTATTCACTTCAAGTAAGGAAAATCAGCCAGAAGTACAAAGCAGAAGTAGGACATCCCCTTCACAGAACCCCATTAAGAGCGACAGGAATTGAACAAAGGGGTTGATCTCAGAGCAGTTGTTAAGGAGCATGTTGGGGTTTTTCTCTTTTAAATATGCTTTTATTGGTTGCAAAGAGAGGAAGGGAGAGAGAGAGAGAGAAACATCAATGATGAGAGAGTCATCGATCAGCTGCCTCCTGCACGCCCCCTACTGGAGATCCAGCCCGAACCCCGGGCATGTGCCCTGACTGGGAATCGAGCCCTGATAAGGGGTATGTCTCGATCTCATAAGCACATTGGACCATGTACCATTACCTAGAGTGCCTATTCTTTGAAGAGAAATCTTAGTCCATCAACGCACCAGTAACAACGGGGCCAGCTCTTGAACCAATTCTAATGAGGGAACCTGTGTATCATAAATGCCAGTCCACAGAGGTATCACAGAGACACTAGATACAGGATTTTTCATTTCATTTTTACAATAAGGTACTGTATTTTAGACATAAGGAACTTAAAAATAAATAAAAAACATTCTAGTTTCTCTTAGTAGTTATTTTTTTCTGGGTAAATTTTAATTTGACGTAGGACAAGAGAGCAAACGTATCCCACTGCCCCTGGGCACCCTTTTCCTTAGTTACACTACAGAACTTAGGACATAGATAATTTAAAAAAAGAAAGAAAAAAGGAAGGAAAAAGAAGCGAAGAGAAGGGTAGAGTGGAAAGAGGAGCAGAATAGAGGAGGGAAGAAAGGGAGGAAATTAGTCTGTTCTTTGACTCAGAAAAATTGCTGTAAAACTATCCGTAGTTATTTATCAAACATACAAAAATGGAAAAACTAAAATAAGAAATATCTTACTATTTCTCTCTAGTTGAGATCTCCGTGGGTTTTAAAACAATGTTTCCCAGTGTTCAATTGTGCATAGCCATGTACTGTGTAAGAACAGTGGTCCCATGAGGTTATAGTGGAGCTGGATTTCCTGCAAGAAATGGAAGGATATGTGGTTCAGATGAATTTTTTTTCTTTGATGGGAGCAATATCTGCAGGGCTTGGCAGTAGATTCCCTCTCACTGACAGCACCTCAATTTTGAGTGCACAGATTACCTCCCAGTCTGTCACCACTGACTCGTTTTGGCACAGATGAGCGTGTCCCCCAGCGCTACACATTTAGGGGGTACGTACAGCCCTTGATCTACCTTGATTGTGTTCAGAACACATCGCTGTAAATTCCTCGCTGAGGATCTAAGATCCTGTACAAGGACACAGGTCCACAGGAGGTAGTTTAATAAGTATTGTTTTCTTTAAATGCGATTTTTTTCCAAGTTTATTCTTTTTTATTTTTTATATGATTTTTGTATTAGTTTCTGGTGTTCAGCACAGTGGTTAGACAATCATATATGCTTTACAGCGTTCCCCTGGTATTTCCAGTACTCACCTGGCACCACTCATGGTTATTACAACATATTCCCTGTCCTGTACTTTACAGCCCTGTGACTACACTGTAACTACCAATCTGTACTTCTCAATCCCTTCACCTTTTAATAACTATTAAGTGCCATTGCCACTTCAGTAAGAAGCTTTCTGTGGTAGCCTGTCACCTTTCACTCCCTCCTGCCAGTCACTACTATGGTGATCTATGCCTTTTCCAGTCAGCTTCCCCTCAATATTCCTAACCAGTCCAGCCCACATCCCTGTTCATGGAACAGCACTGACAGCTTCAGTGTTCTCAGAATTTCTAACACTGCTGGAAGGAGCAGGAGATGGGCTTGTGGGACGGTGTTTATAAGTCTACAGTAGCGTACAGCAATGTCCCAGGCCTTCCCTTCACTCCCCACCCACTCACCGGCCGGAACAACTTCTAGCCCTGCAACTCCATTCAAGGTAAGTGCACTATACAGGTGTATCATATTTTATCTTTTATATACTTTTTTTACTGTACCTTTTCTATGTTTTGATACACAAGTACCTACTGTTGTGTTATAACTTTCTACAGTATTCTGTACAGGTCTGTAGCCTAAGAGCAAAGGCTATGACATGTAGCCTAGCTGTGTAGTGGGCTATACCGCCTAGGTTTGTGTAAGGACTCTGTGATGTTTGCACAATGGCAGAATCATCTGATGACATATTTGTCAGTACATATCCCCATCATTAAGGGACATATGACTGTATATAGAAAATCTGTTCTATAATAAGCAAGGAAGACAAACAACAGCAGACGTGAAATAATTGAACAGTGGAGACCAATCTGAAGAATCAGAGATGACAGTCCCTTATGGAACAGATATGCATTAAAAAAGAGGAAAGTCCTTTTGGAAAAAAGTTAAATTTACATTTCATATTTCATACAATTAAATCTATAAAAAAAGTTATAATTTGCAATTAAGAAGCACTGCCTTCAAAGTACAAAATAAATCGTGATTACTGGTTTATTTGTAATTTGGGCAGTAAGCCATCAAATAGATACTACATAAAAAATGATAAATTAGAAGCTAAACATCTTAACACAGAAAAATAAGATAAATTTTAAAACAGAAAAGAAATGAAAACAGAAAAAATAGCCCTAGGAAATCTAATTCAGATTCTAATATAGACATCTAGGAATTCTAGATAAATAAAACATAATAGAGGTAAAGTATAATTAAAGAAATAATAATAATAAATGTCCTTGAGTTGAGAAATGTATAAAATGAAAACTCAGTACTAGGAAGAATTCATAGAAAGAGATGAACAGTAAAACCCTCACACAGGGAAGTCAACAGTAATGAAAACAATCTAAAAAAGAAATTAAGAAAACTATCCCACTTCCAATATCATCAAAAACAGTAAAATACTTTAAAATAATTTTAACTAAGGAGATGAAAACTGTACACTGAAAAATATGACTTTGATGAAAGAAACTGAAGACACCAATAAATTGAAAGACACCCTGTGTTCATGAATTGAAAGAATTAATACTGTTATAATGTCCATACTACCCAAAATGATCTGCAGGTTCAATGCAATTCCTATCAAAGCCCAAATGGTATTCTTTACAGACACAGGAAAAACAATTCTAAAATTTGCATGAATCACAAAGATTCCAAGCAAGCAAAGCAATTTTGAGTAAAGAACAAAGCTACAAGCATCTTATTCCAAACTATGTTACAAAACTATAGTGATTTACACAGCGTGGTGCTGGCATAAAAATGGACATCATAGGCCAGTGGGACAGAGCAGAGCTGAGAAATAAACCTATGTATCCGCAGTCAACTAACCTTTGACAAAGGCACCAAGAATATACAATGGGGAAAGTACAGTCTCTAATAAATGATGTTGTGAATACTGGATGTCCACATACAAAAGAATGAAATTGGGACACTTACCTTATGCCATGAACAAAAATTAACTCAAAATGGATTAAAGTAAAATGTAAGGGATGAAACAGTGAAACACTTAGAAGAAGACATCAGGGAAAAGCTCATTGGCATTGTCTTGGCAATAATTTTTTGGCTATCACACCAAAAACACAAGTGGATTAATGTTTGAAGAATTAATAAGACATAGACATTTTAATAATTAAGGAGTTTGTGCATAACAATATTTGAACATACATTATTTTCAAATGGCCATCAAACATTTAAAGAGTATTTCTTATTCCACAGAAGATTCTACATGTGATTATTCACAATAGAAAAAAATACGTAAATTATAAGAGTAAGTCATTCCAATTTATCTTGGTTATTTCATTTGTAGGTGTGCAAAAATGGTGAATGCGTGAAGATTGAAAAGGCTTACACTTCAACTAATTGCTCCTCTCAGTGCAATGAAAATGCTGTAAGATTTGACTCCTTTTTATATTAATATCTTACCAGACATTTATTTACTTAGGACTTATTATCCCTGGGCCTATGCCTGTGTGTGTGTGTGTGCGTGCGCGCGTGCTTGCACGCAAATGCACACATGTAAGTACGTATAGTGATTTTGAAATTAGATGTTCATTTGGGAACCATTTTTTTTCACATATAATAAATAAAATTGATCCAAAGAGCTAAACCAGGTATTAGATACTACCAGCATTTGCAAGTATATGATTTGTTATTAGACTGGTAATCTAGAAACCCAGTAACTTATGTACATATGAAGTTTAAATGTAAAGTTTAAAGTTGGATCTATCATAATATCACTTATACTTCAGTTATATCAATGTCAACATTTGCCTGAAGCTTTTGAAAAAAAAACAAAAAAAAAACCCATATTTTTTTACTCAACAATATTCAATGATAGTGGTATCTAGCAGTCGTGTCTGTGGGTAACATCTTCCCTAAGCCCAATCAATCAGTAGTACTTATCTAGAGAGTGTATATGTACCAGGTACTCTTCCAAGTACTTTACATATATATTAAATTTTAAAAGCTTCATAACAACTGAAAAGGTGAGTCCTCTGCCTACTTTTACAGACAGAGAACAAGCCACACTTAGTTTATGTGAAAGGAAAAGCTGAGATTTAAACCCAGAAAGAGGGCATGTTCTTAATTATCACACAATACTCTGATGAACTAAACACTGTTCTATCACTTTATCCCACACTTATATTACCTCNTGTGTTCTTAAGTATCACACAATACTCTTTGATGAACTAAACACTGTTCTATCACTTTATCCCACACTTATATTACCTCATCATTATCAAGCCTAGTTAGAGTCTGTTCTTTGGCTGCAATATATTCAACACTAGCAGGGGCTGTTCCTTTAAAAAAAATTGGTGCCTTCTGGAAAGATAACTCACGCTGTGTTGTTTATCTGGTTTTGAATCTGACACCATCGTTTTCTCGTTCGAAGGCCGTCTCCAAAGGTGGTTGATTCTTGTATTTTGTTTGCTTATTTCTTTCAAAAATTGATTGTAGTTTGCGGTTTAGTTAATCAATCAATAAAANTGATAAAACTGATTGAATGCCCTTCCAGGTGGATGGCAGTGAACTTGAGTGCCAGTGTGAGGAAGAAGAGGTACTTGTGAACTGGGAAGAGGCCTTAAACATTACCAGTGAGCATCCTAGAATATACTGTCCTGCATATATCAAAGCCCAGCCAGTGAAAATGCTTTTTTTTTTCTTATTTTCTGAGTCTACTACATATGTTGTGTTTCTGTATGGATTTGTATGGTCCTTTTNTAGCCAGTGAAAATGCTTTTTTTTTTTTTCTTATTTTCTGAGTCTACTACATATGTTGTGTTTCTGTATGGATTTGTACGGTCCTTTTTTTGCATATTTAAATACCCACATTTGAATTTACTCCTTGCTTTTAAGAATTAATGGATCTTCTCCTAGTTTAATTTGGATTAGGTCTTCTAAGAGCCCACAACCCAACAAAGCTTTTTCTATAGTCTGTTAATAACTGAGAATCAAAACTTTTCTGCTGACCGTCGCTCCCTTAAACGTAAGGAGTGTTCATTGCTAACACAGATGATAATTTGTATAATATTTTGGCCTTTTACTTTATATTTAAGAAATTGTGGGGAGGGGGAATCAAAATCTTTTAAGGAAGAGAGAACCAGTGTCACAGCTCAGTTAAATGTTAATATTCTACTGTCCTAAAGTTGAAATCTTGGTTGAAGCTTTTTTCTTTTTTTTTTTTTTTTACCATTCCAGATATCTCCATCCTGGTTGTTGTGCTTGTCCTGGGCATTATTGGTGCTGGGGGTATCATATTATTAATTCACTACCAAAAATGTATTAAACTGAAGAAAGTTCAGAGGTATGTCTGTCTTTTCTATGTGTTCGAGAAGGCCATTACTGAGAACATATTGGCTTTGTGGCCACAGAGCATACTTGATGGAGGCAAAGGATAACCCCTTATTGAAGACGAAGGAAGAATACCAGTAAATCAAGTGCTAATCCTAATGTTTATCCCAATGGTTCCCAAACTTGTTGGCACATTGAAATTACAGTTTAAGAAAATACTAATTTTGGTTTCTCCCTCAAATATAATCGTTACAAGGTATAACCTGAGTATCCATCTCTTAAAAATCTCCTAGTTGATTTAATATTAACCACAGGCTCACCCCCTATCTTGTATCAATATTCCGCTTCCTTCTTGACAGCCCACCTCGAGACAGACTGGGAGTGGAAAATAAAGGATACTTTGGGGATGAGCTGCAGACTAGGACTGAGCCAATCTTACCTGATATTCATCCCCTACACGTAAGACAATTTCATTTGCAATAGTTGATTACCGTAAATAGTTGATTAACTTGAAATGGCACTAGCCCTAAAGCTAAACAAGGTAGAAGATGCAGAACAGTTTAACACAGTTTCATACCATTAAGCCTTCAATCTACATATGGGGAGGGAGAGGACGGCAGGACTCAAGCAAACCAGGACACTATTTCAGAGAAAACTATATTGGTTAAATAAAATATTGATTTGTGCACTATTAGAAAAAATATAAACATAAACCATATTCTGGGGGGAAATGTCATAATACACTTAAAAGAACTGAAATCATACAAAATATGCTCTCAAAATAAAATCATTAAAAATCAGTAACAGAAAGATACTAGGATATGGGTTATAGCAGAGGAGGGGGGTCTTCAATGAAGGAGAGAAAGTTTTGTTTTTGGATCTGGATGGGGGTTGGTTACACAGAGGTACTCATTTGTGAAAATTCATCCATCTCTACACTTAGGGCTTGTGCATTTCTTTGCATATATTTAACACATGCCACCAGCGCAGTCCGTTTCCCTAAGTTGGCCTTACTGGAATTTCAATAGACGCACTTTGTGAATGAAAGCTCTAGCACTTGAAAAATGTTTGGAAATCTCTTACTAAATATATTGTTGGAGAGATTCACAGGGTTTACAAGGAAAAATGGTTTCTGATAAAACTTCCCTTAACCAGACCTGTCTCCCCCATCCTATCCCATAGGAATTTAAAAACTGTTTTAGATTTGTCCTGAATCAAGAAGAGGGGGTCTGTGTGTGCATGTGCTCACGTGCATTTGTGTCTGTGTGATATCTGATGCAGTTCCTGACACAACATGTATTTATTATAGAAACCTGCAAGTAGAGACCCAAGAGGACTCGCAGATTCCAATCAACGTGCCAAAATGGTAGGCTCCCATGACAGAAGGTACCTCCCCCACTTGTGACATTTTTCAAAGGCTGGCACCCTTTTGTGTTCTTTGCGTACTCATCGACTGACTAGGAACATCCTCAGCTCTTATCAAAAGAAGAGGATGGTTGGGATTGTTTCCTCTGATGTGCTAACATTTCTAACAGATAATCCAGCAGAGCCTGTGTTAATCCAAGAGTTTCAACCTGACCAAGGGAGCGAGCTAGACTTACACAGTGCCAGAGTTTTCACTTACCACATCAATAACTGACTGTATCTAAGGGGCTGTTTCACTTTTCTTTTTCTTTTCTAATGTTTCTTTTTTAATTGATTTCAGAGAGAGGAAGGGAGAGGGGGAGAGAGAGAGATGGAAACAACGATGAGAGAGAGGCATCGATCGGCTGCCTCCTGCACGTCCCCTACAAAGGATTGAGCCCGAAGCCTGGGCATGTGCCCTCACTGGTAATTGAAGAATGACCTCCTAGTTCATAGGTCAACCCTCAACCACTGAGCCACACCAGCTGGGCCCACTTTTCAATTATTATGTCTATGTTAGAAAATGTATCAAAAATGTGGAGGGAGACACAATTATTAAAGGGAGACAAAATTAGGACTGTTTGGCTACATTTCAGAGTTCCTGTTTTCTTTCCTTCTTTTATCCATTCGTTGATTTCTGTCGAGTGCCTACAATGTACTGAGTTAATACGAAGCTTTCCCCCACAAAGCATTCTTACAAGAAATCCCACCCAATACACTTTTGTTGTTGGGATAGAGAAGAAGGGATGTTTCTCACGGCCCTGCCTCTTCACAGTGATGAACCTGTCTCACACCGGAGAGTGAAGAGAGGCGCTCCTGGTGCAAGCAAACTGGCTTCCTCTAATGAAATACTAAATGATTTTCTTTCTTTTGTGATAAGCTCATTCATGTTACAATAGCTGCTTCATGAGCCTTGGCTAAGGAGAGCTGGGAAAGTGTGAAAAAAATGTAGCACAGCAAAAATCCAGAAAGATTATTGCAATTAGTAGGTATAAATAAGTAACTGAAATAGAACATGCTTATAGATTTTACCAAAAACAACTTATTTTTACCCATGTGTTTCTATTTAGAGCTTGAAATTGGATATCGAAGATGGCTGCGAAAGGCTAGGCTGAGGCTTCTGGATGCAAGATCTTCACGACCTTTCCTCATTGTTTGCTGCACAGATTTTGATAGTTTCTCAAATGTTCTATATCCAGACAGAAAACGTTGAAGAGAAACAAGTTGTTTCTGTAATATTTGCCTGTAGAACTCATGACCTATACTGTAGACATATGCTACAAAATTATTATAGGTTTTCAAACCCTCTTTAGCTTAATACAAGTATAAACAGTCTCCTTGCTTTAGAATATCCCTATAAAATGTTAGTCTAGTTACTTAAAAAAGAGTCAAAACCTCAAGGAGAATAAATTACAACCCTGAATCTAAGAAGCGAAAAACACTGTTTATATAAGGTTATTTCCTTGGGAGCATAAAAGTACCTACCTTAATGTGAACTTGACATGATTACCACTAATTCTGGATTAAATGAACTCCTCTCCTGCAGAAAAGCCCAGGAATTCAGTGCAGGAAGGCATCGACTCCACTAGCAGGCTGTTTCGCTTATTTCTGTTCAGTGAAGGAGGCAGAAGTCACCCTAATTGCAGGATAGTTCTTACAATTGTGCTGATAGCAGTGGAGGTCTTGAAATGTTTTTGGTTAATTCTAAATTCCTAGAATTTAACTTTAAATCCCCAAATCTTTAGAATTCCTTAGAACCTGACAGAGAAGTCAGAGGGTTACAAAAATTTCAGAAAATGAACCCCAGCAGAGAATATGATTCCCATGAAGGGCTTGTGAGATCCTTATAATTCATGGCTTTGATCACTTACTGTGTGATTTCTGTGCTGCGTCCACTCCTCCCTGTCACTTGATTGCAGTGTGTGGGGTCATCCTGGGAATGATTTCTGCTCTTTCTGATACCGACACTTCTCAGTGTGCTCTCTTTTGCTTTCTACTTTCCTTTGGTTAACTGTTTAAGCTGCATCCAATTATTTTTTCATTCATTGAAATAAAGTTTTCAAGTGCTAAATGCAAATTTTATGATTCAATTAAATAAATGCTGCTAATCAGGGAAGAAGGCCGATGAGATTATGGTTGATGAGATTTTTGTTGCTATGCCGAGGGGTTGAGGAGAGAAAACAGTGGAGATCGGACAGCAGTGACTCAGCACTTTCTATCCCGGCAGCTGATTAAGGGTTTGCTGTTCTAATGAAAACCATCCCTTTAAGAAAGAACATTGATAAATGTGTACTTAAAGCAGAAGATGCTGATTTAAATATTTTATGTAAATTTATGACAAAAAGAGAAATTCCATATAAAATATAAAACCTCACCTATATTAGCAAACAATAATCCTCTGGTGTTCACAGTAATCACACGTCTGTCTTCGCTTGAGCAGTACATATGCTGATGAACAGGGTGCATTTTGGTGACACCTTACCCCCCTGTGAAAGAACAGTCTCCTGGATTTGTTCTTGCTACCAGGCCTCTTCCAGAAAGCTCGCATCACCACCCGCCTCCTCTGCATTGGGCTCTACGCTCCCCTAACTATTTATTTCCAGTGATTTCCCCCCTAAATTTCTTCTCTCCCTCCAATTATGTCTGGTACTCCCCCAAATCTTCCTGCCTCATTGCTTCCTTCCTCATCACTCTAGACTTCTAACCTGCTTCCCTCTCTTCAGATAACCTCAGTCACCTTCTGATAGCTAAGAACCTTTTTTTAAAAATATACATTTATATATCTTTATTGATTTCAGAGAGAGGAAGGGAAAGGGAGAGAGAGAGAGAGAGAGAGCAATATCAATGACGAGGGAGTCATTGACCGGCTGCCTCCTGCATGCCCCCCACTGGGGATCAAGCCCAAAACCCGGGCATGTGCCCTGACTGGGAATCGAACCGCGATCTCCTGGGTCATAGGTTGGTGCTCAACCCCTGAGCTGCAGCGGCCAGGAAGACCTTCTGAATTTCAGGCAGTGTTCGTCATGCCTACCCAGAGTGTCTCCCAGCCTACAGAGATGTTACCTGCGCTCCTTTCAAATGCTGCCAGCACCTGCTCTGTCTCTTAGGGACCCTCGTCTTCCAATACTGTCTACAGGTTAGGAAACAGCTGCAACCTTCTCCATATAGTGGTCCCCTTGGAGGCCCAGTTCTGCCCCTGGTTATGGAGCCAGTTGTGACTTCATAGTCTTAGTATTTCTGAGCCTTGCCACCCCCAGGGGTTTGAATCCTTTCCCTTGAACTCATGATTGCTAACAGGACTCCTGCTGTGAAGGGACAGACCTGCCTCAGTCCCAGGAACTCCCTGCTGCCCTGCCCCAAACACAGAGAGCCCTTCCCGACGCTGGCATTTGCCTAAACTAAGGCTGAACTTCCGACGGCCCTGGGATGCTGTGTCTGGGGTCCTGGGCTATCCTCTGCAGCTGGGTCATGAGGGGGATTCATCTGGAACTTAATGAAGCTTGAGCGTCAGGGCCCATAACATATACTGCCCCTTCCAAGACTTTTTATCTAATTTTGTGTTTACATTTTTTAATGACATTCAGTGAAGTGGATTTAGGCTGGGAGGAGGAAGTGAAATGATTAATCAGCAGAAGTGCCTGAAAGAAACAAATAAGACACAGACGCATCTTTGTTAGGCTGAGGTTGCAGTCTCGGGGCGGGTGGGGAGTAGGTCAGCTCAAAACAGAATGGGGGCGGGAGAGCTGGGAGTGAGAGGCAGGCTTGGGCAG